CCTGACCTCCAACACTGTAAGGGAATAAATGTGTTTCTTTGTTTTTTTGCTTGAGGAAGATTTGCCCTGAGCTAACATCTGTGCCAATCTTCCTCTATTTTTTTTTGTTTTGTGTGAGTTGCTGCCACAGCGTGGTTGATGAGTGGTGTAGGTGTGTGCCCAGGATCCTATCCTGAGAACCCAGGCCACCAAAGCACAGCGCACTGAACTTAACCACTATACCACGGGGCTGGCCCCAATTTGCTTTGATTTAAGCCACTAAGTTTGTGGATATTTGTTACAGCAGCCACAGGAAACTAATACACACCCTTAACATGGCCCATGAGGCTCTATGTTCTCTGGACCCTGTTACACATCTCTGATTCATCTTCTTGCTCCTCTCATCCTTCACCACCCTGACTGTTCCCCTCCCACCTCTGAGCCTTTGCATCTGCTGTTCCTGCTGCCTGGGATGGCCTTCCCCCACAGATCCACCTCGTTTGCTCCAGCCAGATGTCACCTTATCAGAGACTTCTCCAACTACCTTCTATAAAATCGTAGCCTAACACTCCCTAGGCCCGTTACCCTGCTGCTTCTTTCTCTGTACACGCATCACCATGTATATGTGGCCCGAATTCCATATTATACATTTGTCTATTTCCTTCCTTAAAAACGTGAGCCCCATTCGCACACACTGCTTACCCTTGGTGCCTAGAATGAGCGTCTGGTGTTGCAAGCTCACAACAGATATTTGCTGGATGAATTTTACAGATGGGGACTAAGATCAGGGAGGGGGAATGAATCAAACACAGCGTCTCCCACATCTCGCTATCCCAAACTGCCTCAGCTGGGCAGCGCTGGGCACCTTTCAAAGGTTCACCCCTCAGGCCTGGGTCTCAACCCCGGTTCTGCCAGGCAGTTTCCACGTGACCCCAGGCAGGTGTCTCACCTCCTCAGCTTCTGCTCCCTCGTCTGTTAATCAAGGAGTGAATGATTTCATTCATTCAGCAAGGCCCTTAGTTGGGAACTCGCCCAGCAGGCTAGAGGACTAGGAGGGAGGCTGGAGCGGGGAGAGAGTAGGAAGAAGGACAGGGTGGTCAGGGCCAAGCGCAGGGCCCTGGGAGCAGGGATCCTGGTTCCAGGGGAGAGGTGGAGAGCCATGGAGGGGGTTTAGAGGGAGGAGCCTGACCTCATCCTCACCTGGAAGAGGACACCCAGGGCGTCAGAGGATGCATTGCAGGGAGAGGGGAAAGCAGGAACACTGTCACGGTCCAGCGAGAGGCGGGGGGAGAGTTGGGGAGAGGGAGATGTGATCTGGGTAGAAATGACACGATGTCCTGGGAGGCAGAATGCAGGGTGGGTGGGCAGGACTGAGGAAGAGGACGGAGGAGTTTAGGAAGAGCTCCCACCTGGGGAACCATGAGGATGACAGTGCTCCCCGCGTTTCTCAGCCCCTTCCAGGCGTACGCAATAGAAACTCTGTTTGCTCTAAGCAAAACGGAAATGTATCAGCTGGTGATGGAAAAGTCTAGAGCCCCAGAACACCACTGGTGATCCCAGGACACAGTCTCTCTATCTCCTCACTCTCTTCTCCTGAGTTGGCATCATTCTCAGGCAGGCTGTCCCACACAGTGCCAAATGGCCACCAGCAGCCCCAGGCTGGCATCCTATCAGGACACAAAACCAACAGAAAGAGGCTTTTTTCTACTATGTCCACATAGTCCCAGAGGGGTCTCTCATTGGCCAACCTTGGGCCACATGCTCAAATCTGAATCAGTCACTGAAATTGGGGGCCGTAGAGCTCTGGCTGGCCAGGCCAGGCCCACGTGGATAGAGAGTGGGGGAGGGGGTTCTCCCGAGGGAGACAGATGCCACGGAGGGGACAGATGGCAGGCAGGCAGACAGGAGCCATTGCCAGCGCCTCTGCACAGGCTGATGAGCACAGGATTTTCTGAGGCAAGGGCCTGGCACAGAGCCAGCCTGGGAGATAGTGGCTGGTACGGTGCCTGCACCATTATCCTGGGGTGGCCCCAGCCTCCTGATCCTGGTCCTGATCAGGTGGGCCTCTCCCTGCACTCCTGCACAGGATGACAGGGCTCGGCCTTGACCCTCCAATTGGGGCAAGCTGCCACCTCCCCGAGCACCTGCCCTTTCCTGCCAGTGTCTCATGTTGCAAATTCCATGATTTATGACTACTCAGAGCCCCAGATACCTCCTGGCAGGGTCAGTGCTGAGGCTGGGGTGCCTACCTGCTCTGCCCACAGTGGGCTCCTGACTGTGATCTCTTCCCAGACCTCAGCTGCCCCCTTGCCTGCCTGCCCAGTGACTCAGAGAGGTTGTGCCCAGCTTGGGTGGGGTCCTTGAGATTTTAGGGTGCCTAAGATCAGAGCGCAGGCTCTCCACATTTCCTCAGGTCCTGGCAAGGTGGGGCCGCCCCACAGTCACTCAGCCAAGCAGCTCCAGGGAATTAGAGAGGCCTGCTCAGCTTCTTTCTGGTTCTTGGTCTTGGCTATCTGGTTTGTTGGATTTGGTCTCCAGCTTCACATGTGGCCCCAATACCTCTACGCCCTCCCCTCATGGTGTCAGGAAGGCTGCTGCTGTTCCAGCCTCACTTCTCAGGTTTAAGTCCAGCAGGAAAGAGTGAGAGCCTTTCCTTGCAGCTCTCACTCTGATCGGACTTGAGGTTACATGCTCATTCCTGATCCTCTGCGGCCAGTGAATGCCAGATATTGAATGACCAGGCTTAAGTCACATACTCCAATCCCAGAAAACACAGGGAGAGTTCCCACACTAAAATCAGGGCTGGGCCTCCTAGTGCCAGAGGCTGAGCTGTCCAGAGCAGCCCCCAGGTGCAGACAGCTCCCCACCCCAGGAACTGATCCTTAAACTCTCTGGGGCTGTGGGCTTTCACGAAAGACACAGGCCACGGGTCCATTTAAAAATCATTTTATTATTAACATCATCTTCCCATTTAGCCAAGTGTCTGTCATGTATAAGGAATGTCGGTAAATATTCCATTTGAAGCTTCTTTGTACATATTTCCATCGATAAATAAACTCTGAATTCACATAAAAAAGTTAAACTTAAATAACTCATATTTCCTTCTCTTGTAACAGGCATATATTGGTAAAATATAAATATTCTTGGACTCAGGCTTTGTTCTAAGTGAGGACAGTAATTCATCACATGGTACAATTACTGACAACAAAACCAAGAAATTGTCAGCTGGTGTCCTGGCTTGGACTAGTACGAGGTGGGAAACGGAAAATTCACATTTGGTTTCTGGGCCAAGGGTGGGGCAGGAGTGGTAATGGTAGGAGAGAACACTTTTCTTTACAGCTCTGATAAAAATCATCTGCTCTGCCACTGAATTTTAACTTCGAATATAGTCTCCTACGTTTGCTGATTAAGTCCATAATCATTTTACTTAAAACTCAGATGTCAACTAACAAAATATGGCACATAATCCATTTTGAACAATGTCAGTAGATTCAGAAACTATCATTGGGCTGGCGAAACAACAGAAACACACGTGGGGAGCGATGATTCCGGGGGTGGTTTGGTTAGTTCACTGTGGTTGATCGCACAGTCACCCAGGGCCTCGGTGTGGCAGACTCGACGTGTCGGGGCACCCCGGGGGGCCTCCCTGGCCGGAGCGGCAGTGGGGCTGGCGGGCGCCTGCTCAGAGCACCCGAGGGATGATGGTAAAGGGCACCGCGGGGCTGCTGGCCTCCAGCTCCAAGGCCGTCAGGAAGCACTCGGTGGCCGCTGCGTCATTGCCCTGAGCTTGGAGGACCTCGCCCAGCCCGTTCCAGACCTCGTGGGCTGTTGAGTTCACCTGCACGGCATCCCGGAGGATCTTCTCTGCCAGACTGTAGCGGCCCAGCTGATGAAGGATCAGGGCCTGCAGGCATGGGACAGACAGACAGACAGACAGACCATCAGAGAGACTCTACAGCACTGGGCTCCTATCTGTCCTCGACTTCCAGCAAGTTCCTTGGAGGTAGGCATGTATCTCCATCAGGCTGGGCACACAAGAAGTTCAAGTTCTTCCTGCACTCAGGGGCAAGGGTCAAAAATTGTTGCTTGAACCATATGAAGCTGCCGACGTCCAGCCATTTTTGAAAGACAAAAATGGCAATTTCAAAAGGTTCATTTGAATACTTAACACCAAGAAATAAACCAATCGGAATGTCCAAAGTCTAGACTGACCCACAGGCTGTCCTGTGTGTACCAGTTGGCATCTGCCTGCACAGAAGGGTGTCTGTCATCTTTTTTTTTTTTTAACCTAAAGAAATGTCATTTGTGGCATTACTATCTTAACGATTTAGAACAGAATTTTTTTAAATTGCTCACAGCCCCTTACCCTAACCAAGCCCCTGACCTCACTGTCCCCTGCTCACCTCAGGCTTGGCCAGGGCACAGCTGTCATTTTACACAGTTTTAATCAGGGTACATGTGTTGGTCCCCAAATATTTGATCATAATCAAGTTTGCAAGTTGCACATCTCCACAATTGGTGTGTTTGCCCTCTTCCATCAATGGACATACTCTCATTTACTCAAGCTCTCCCTCACGGGGAGACAGTTAGATCATGCCTAATCTCCTTGCTATAAGAAACCACGCTGTATTATGTACATCTTTCTGATAGCACCTCTTCACTTCTTTAGATCAGCAGATTTCAAATCTTTTTTACAACCCTGAAAACCTTTAGTTAAATGGAACCTTACCGAGAACACCCACATATTGTGGAACTACACAGACAAAAAGGAACTGCTTGGGAGCCAGCCCTGATGGCTTAGTGGTTAAAGTTCAGTGCACTCTGCTTTGGTGGCCCGGGTTTGGTTCCTGGGCTCAGAACCACACCACTTGTTGTCGGTGGCCGTGCTGTGGTGGTGGCTCACAGAGAAGAACCCGAAGTTCTTACAACTATACACAACTATGTACTGGGGCTTTGAGGGGGAAAGAAGGAGGAAGATTGGCAACAGATGCTAGCTAAGGGTAAATCTTCCCCTGTAAAAAAAAAAAAAGAGTGCTACCCTGATTCAAAAACAAAAAAAGGGAACTACTCGGGATGGGGATGGGGGGTAGCATATTGGGGAGGACCCAGAGTCCCCCATGGGGCCCTGGACAAGGCTCGGTGCTACTAGCTTGACAACCATTTGGAGGTGCTTCCTTGAGGAAGCAAATTTGAGGAATTTTTGAGGGCAAATTTCCCCAAAGTGGCATTATTGGGTTAGAGGATATGACTCTTTTTAGGGTTCTCCAAATATTTTGCAAATTATATCCCCAAAGTGTCATGTCACTTTTTTGGCCATTTACAGAGTTTTCAGTGGTTGGTCCTTCACTCCCCACTATCATTATTCTTTATTTTTGCTAATTTTGTAAGCACAGAATGGCCTGCCTTACTGAAACCTGCATTTCTTTCAGAACAATCAATGTTAAATATTTCCCATGTCTCTGTTTACGAGCCTTTTAGAAGACTGATATTCATCTGCTGCCATAATTGCCTAGGTATTTTTGGCTTTCGAGGTTTTTTTCTCTGAACAAAAGTTTTTAGTTTTTTTAAATTGAATTTGTCGATCTCTGATTATCCATTTATTTTTTTGTTGTTTCAAAGCTTAGGAAGTTATCCTTTAAAGAAGCGACACACGTTCAGTTTCATTTACTGTGACCTGACTTTCTTTACGTAGCTGCTTACTTTACTTGGGCGATAGGAATCTGAGTGGATTTCCTGTACTTTTCGGAGGCTCCCTTCCCCTCCCTCATGCGAGGCGCTGCCTTTGTCATATGGTGAATCATTACATGAAGCAGGGGCCTTCTATAATTTCCCAGCGGCCATAGCACCTCTTGCCGCATGAGGCTGTATCGTGTTGATTTCCGTTACTCCACGTCACGTTCGACAGGTGGGATTAGAGCCTTTCCTCACTGCTCTTTGCTTTCGGTGTATTTTCTGACAATCTTGCCCTGCACTATTCCAGGTGAATTTACAGCCCACTGTGTTCGTCTCCTTTGGGAGCTGAACTGTACTGCACGAAATCTCTAGGTGCGGTGGAGAAGCCCGACACCTTTACAGCGTTCAGTATTCCCACCCAGGAACATGGCATGGCCGTGGGGGCTTCAGACCTCACCCAGATGTCCCCGTGAGGCCTGCACTTCCTTCTTGCGGCTCACGCACGGCACTGGTGAGGCAGCCTGTGTTCTCAAGCCTGCACTTCACCAAGGGGCGAAGGGCAGCGGGTGGGCTCTCAGGAGCAGAAGCAGCCGGAGCAGAGGCATAAACGTGCCTGCCAGAGGCTGGCTGTGGCCTCCACGGACCCACTCCAGAGAGCTCTGCCAGAGACGCGCTCTGCGAGGAAGATGCGCTCTGCCCTTCAGTGGGCAGTGTCCAGGCCCTGTGGACTGACCTCTCCCCAGGGCACGTGGTTCTGGAGGTGGCATCTGAGGGCCTGAAAAGCAGCCTGACTTCTGAGAGTCACAACGAGCACCTGGTGCAGGAGCTGTGAGGCCCACCTGGGAGGAGCTCACGGTCACAGGGCGACGGCCACAGAGACCCACGGCCCTAGGGCAGTGTGTGACACTGTGGAGGGGTCCTCCTCACGCCCCCAGCTCTGGGAGCGGGAGGCAGTTCAGGAAGCCCAGGCAGATAGAGGCTGCCCTCCCCTGGCCAGGGCACAGCGGACTTCAAGGTCAGATCTACCCTCTCTGAGAGGAAAACTGAAAGGAAACAGCATCCGTTTCCTTTCTTATCAACATTTAGACATGCTTAACGACGTCCATGCTGGAGTCCTTGGGTAGGACCAGGTCCTAGATTGGATCTGCCAGAGCTGAGGGCGGCTCCTTCCTTGAAGCTCGAGAAGGAGAGAGGTGGCCCGCAAGTCAGTGCTCCCAGTTAGGATTCCACCTTGGCTTCTGGAATTTGCTCTCCTCAGAAGGCAAGGCCCTGCCCCTTCTCCAGGGTGAACTGTGGGTTTCGGCGGCCTTCCCAAGGCTGGTCAGGGTCAGGTTCGCAAGGCCCACCAGCACAAGCCTCCCAGCCCTAGCTGTCTGCACACGAGGCCACCATGGAGAACCACTTCCCAGTCTGCACAGGGTTTTCTCCTCACTGCTCCCTCCCCCCAGCTCCTGCACTCCATCCACTAGGGGATACGGGAACCGTGTGCGAGAACAGGGGCAACTGTCCAGCATGGACCGGGGCTTCCTGGAGGAAGAATATTCCTCCATCCAACAGCAGCAAGCACTTCCATGGCGTTTCTGACACACCAGGTAGTTGTAGGGGCTTATGTCAGTTCATTGAATTCACCTGGGGACCCCCAGAGCCACTGCACACAGGCATGGCCAGGACATATACACACCTGGTACGAGGCCTGCTTTTATTGCTTCGGAGAAACAGCCCACAGCTGAGGAGCACCGATTACCTGGTGGAGAAATATCCCCAGGCACTAGGTAGTCCTACTCCATTTTGCAAGGAGTAAACTATGGCTCCTAGAGGCCAAGTCTCTTGTCCCCAGGCATAAGCTAGCTACTGCAGAGCTGGGCTGGAACCCACATCCCTCACTCCCAGGGCCCACCTGGGTGCAGTCCAGGGTTGGGGTGGTGAGGAATCATACCCGTCTCCCAGGTGGTGCTCTTCCCACGCTGGTCTCCTTTAGAGAAAATCAGACAGCTCGACACCCTCATTTCCCAACCTCGAAGGTCAGGCAGGAAGAGCGGGAGCCGCTTTCCCAGGTTGTGTTCAACAGGATGTACAGCTCTTGAGTTCCTGCCCCCTTGCTTCCAGGGGAGGTTATCAGCCTGAGCTCACTCGAGAACATTCCTATTTACTCAACAGAAACGAGAGCAGGGGGTCTGCACAGCGGCAGCGAGCAGCAACAGCGTGAAAGGATTACAAAAGGAGCCCCAGCATGTTTCTTCAAGACACAACTTTCTCAGTGCATCGAAATTACTGAATACACACAAGCTTCCGTGTGGCTCCACCAGGCGGGGAGACACACACTGCATGTGTTTGGCAAAAGGGTGACAAGGGACAAGCCACCTGGTAAGACAGAAAGAGGCGTCCTTGGTTATGTGGCTGCAGGTAGAGGATATAATTTAGGTCCCACTGGGCTCTGCTGCTGTGGACCCAGCCCCACGCTGTTTCCTTCTTCCACAGGGTATGTCTTCTCCCCATTAGGCACTGTGCTGGGCCTGTGTACCAGGCTCATCTCATATTACTGTCCCTTTAGATACAAGGAGACAAGGTTCAGAAAGGTCTTGCCCAAGGTCACAGGGCCAATGAGTATGGAGCAGCAGGCCAGCCCAGGTCTGCCTGAGGCCAAAGCCCCATTCTCCCCACCAAGTCTGCCCATCCACTTGCTGGCACCTCTCTTGCCTTCAGAGACGAGCCCAGAGCCCCTCAAGCACTAACCCAGTTATATCTGAGCAAGAGCAAATGGGCATCTGCCACGCTGTGTCTCCCTTTCTCTTCTCCCCACCAACCTGTGTCCTTCCTTTCACTTCTCCAACCCCCGGTTGCTGACTCGGTTGCTCCTTCCCACGGCTATGACGGGGAGATGGCTCCTCTTCAGGGCACAGTTTTTCTCCGGCTTGGGCCTGCTGTTGGGGAGCATCATGTGTATTCACTCAAGGACTGGGGGCTCCTGTTAGCCAGAAAGTGGACCAGTGAGGTGTGGAGACCCAGGAGGACCAGGGCCTTGGCCCAGCAAGACCTGGAGGTTACTGCTCTCAGCAGCAGCGACCTGCCCCCACCCTGCTGGAGTGGGGACAAGGACACTAGTCCTTTTGCTGGGAATTTTGTTTAGAAAGTGGCAGGCTGCTGAAACTGGGTGTAGCCTACCATGGGGGCTCCAGGGTAGATGGCAGGAGGCAGGTCTACCCTCCCTCCCAAATTCTGCAGAGAACCAGCCAATGGCCTAATCTGACTCATCACCCTCAGTGCGGGGCAGCTGAGAGCCTATATGGTTCTCTGGTGTTCTGGGGTTCTTGTGGGCTTGGAAATTTCCAGCCTATGTCAGTCTTATATTCCTAATGCATGAACGGGCTACCATTTCCAGATGACCTTGAAGCTTCCTGAGCAATCTGTTTAGTGGAATTAATTCCTAAAGCTGGAGCTGCTCAGGGAGACATCACAGACTTGCCAGGGGCTGCCAGCTCAGGCTTGGCAAGGGACTGAAAACTCAGCCTCTCCCCGCTGCCCCAGTGAGCCAAGAGCAGCTCAGAAACCAGTCACACAATGGGATCAACCAGAACAAGTTCCGGCTGGGTTCTGAGCCATTGCTCGGTGCCAGCGTTGCTGGCAGGTTAGCCAGAGGTAGGCTGGGACCTGGCCGTGCCTGGCCATCAGGACGGACACCACCCAAGCCCCTCGGTGCTGTGAGAGGCACTCCCTGGCTTTAATGCGCCCTTACGCACTAGAACCCTGACATCCTTTCCAATTCCACAGGCCCTACTTCCTCGCTTCTCCAAAGACCAAAGGCCTAACTCCTGAGGATGGCATTTACTGGTTCTCACCACCAGCTAGGCCCAACTTCCTCCCAGCACACCTCTTGGTTCAGCCAGGCTGGTCTGACAGCCCCTGCATTTCTGCAGGATGTAGCCCCCGGCCTCCTTCCACTGCTCTAACCCCAGTCGGTCCCGGCCTGGCCCCTCCTGCTGGAGCTCTCGTCCATCTGCCCAAAGCCCTGACCATCCCCATTTCCCCAAGAGCCAGGGCCGCAGTGACCCCCACAGGCAGCACTACCCAGAGGCACAGGGTGCTCCCAGCCCTCAGGTGGCAGGAGACAGAGCTTTCCGTGACTGACATATTTCATTATAATAACCTGCCCTCCCCCCACATAAAAATCAACCCAAACCCACTAAGTGATTGTCCAGATCCAAGCCACATGCTGGGGACACATGCGTGGGCAAGACGCAGGCCTGCTCTCAAGGAGCTGGGGGCCCAGAAAAATCCTAACACAACGGAGCGGTTGCTCCGTGCTAGGAGCTGGGCTGCGCCTCGGCAGGCAAGGTGCTGTCTAATCCTCTCACCTCTGTGAGTTGGGGCTGTCATGGATAATGTTGGCTAGACAGTCAGACCTGCCTAAGACCCTTCCTCAGGCAGTGAGTGGCAGAGCTGAGGCGCGAACTCGTGCATCCACGCTTTTAACACTAGGTCCTCCTTCCTTCTCCTGGAGAGGATGCCCAGACAGGCTCCCACCTTCCCCGACCCCGGTGTTTCTGGAGCTGCTGTAGGTTAGGAGCCAGCTGGGGCCGGCCTTCCAAAAGGACGGGAATGGCTGAGGAGGTAACTTATGAGTCCCTCTCTTCAGACACAAATGAAGACAGCCTCCCAAGCTTGTAATTATTATAATCAGGTATTCTGTACAAATAAGAGCTTGGTGTTGCACCAAATTGGAAATAAGGGATTAAATTAAACCCATTATTTCAAATGAGAAAAAGCACACTTGGCTAGTTTGAGGACAGTTAGCATCTTCCTCACGCATGTCTTTTGTGTGTGCGTGTTTAGCCCACAGACTGACACCTCGCCACATGCCGCAGGCCTCTGTGCAGGCTCTAGTGTCCAAGACTTCCCGCCGCAGCCCTGGCTCAGGCCAATAGCAAGGCTGCAGCACAAAAGCCCCTTTGGGAGATTTTAGACATCCCCATGGTGCTCTGTCCAGCCGCCAAGTCGCCCCTTGCTGGGCTCAAAGGCATGTTGTGGACCACAGCTTGTCCCTCCAGGAGTACAGGTCCCGGGAGATAAGGTCCCTGCAAGACAGCATTCTTCCCACTGCAAACAAATCACGCGGCTCAGCTCTGGTTGGGGGTCAAGCAAGCGTTCTCTCTCTCTGTCTGTGCCTGTTGCTTTTTCCCAGGCACAATGCTTTGGAAGTCAAACACTCGACAGCAGGATGGAGATGAACAGCTCCCTTGTACTTTCCATGCCAGGGCCTGGCTGCTGCGCAGACTCCCCACCCAGGGCCCTGCTCTCGGCTTCTCTGAGCCAGCCTGGGTTTTGCAGAGGCTGTGGGTTCTCACTGAGGCCAGGGTCAGGGAGGAAGTCTGGTATCAGGGGTGGAAGTGGAGCGCCTAAAGATCTTTCTGTTCCCCTCCTGGGTCAGAAACTCTGCCATGACACCAGTGCAGGGGGACAGCGTGGGGGGGTTTAGAGCAGCGTTGTCCAGAGGCTCCTCCAAAAATACAAATGAACCTGGGAGGACAAATGCATGATCCACCAGGCTCTATTAATATTCTGTGTGCAAGGGATTATAACCAATGTACTGTATGTTCTCCTGATTGCAAATACTTTCATAACTGTCCTGGGCAATAGGTACTACATAATCCACATGGCTCATCTCCATCTCCGCTCCCCCACTAGGCTTTGCTGTGAGTGCCTGGAGGGCAGGGACTGGGTAAGCTGTGGCCTTCTCTGCACCCTTAGGCCTGATGCCAAGCAGGCGGGCAGTAATCAGGGCAGAATGAATCAATGGGCAGACACCAAATATCTAAGAAATAAGAAAAACATGTGAAGCCACCATTGACTGAGTCCAGGTCTATGCAGCTCAGAGCCCATGTTCCTGCCCCCACTGCATGCCTCGGAGAGAGGGAAAGATTTCCTCAGCACCCATGAGCTAGGGGCCTCATACAGGAGACGGATAGGGGCCTGATGACCAGATCCGCAGCCTTTGCCAGGGCCTAGCCTGCGCCTGAACTGCTGGGGCCATTTAAGCCAAAATGGCACTGCCAAGGCTTTTGGACCAAAATACGTAAGCCCCCCATGGTGAGACGTCTGCTCTCAGGACACTGGGATTGTGATGGCCACTAAAGGAAAGCCCATCTCCCCAACTTCTGGGACAACGACAGAGCTGCCAAGCTGGCTGCGGCCTGAGCAGTGGCAGTGCTGGCCAGAGATGGCACGTCAGGGGCTCAGCACCCAGGCAAGGGGTCAGGAAGGGCTCTGCAGGCCCTGGCCACTGCTGGTGGCTCACGTGTTAGTGGGACCCACCAGGCTGCAGGAGGAAGGCCTGGCGCTGTCTCAGAGATGGGAGAGACTGGGTTTGTCTTAGCTCTACCATTGACGTGGACAATTTCCTTTCGGTCTTAGATACTTTGTCTATATAATGGCGACAAACACAGGAGAGTCGTGAGGCCTAAATGAGAGAGTTTGTAAAGTGCTCAGCAGAGTAAACCTTGGTGAATGGCCGCCATCATGAATATTATGATTATGATCATTATCATTACCATCAATGACTGAGGGTAGGGGAGATTCTTCTCTGAGGGACGGGAGAAGGCGCTCTGTTCCCACAGGAGCCCAATGTGTGGCCAGGTCTCCCCTCAGGCTATTTGCTCAGACCTGACACTACTCCCCAAGAAAACCCCAGAACCCACCTAAAGACTCTCTGGTCTGACACTCTTTTACAGATGAGGAAGCAGAGGGCCAGAGAGAAAAAGAGGCTTACTCAAGGTCGTGACCCCACTGGACACAGAGCAGGACCAGATTCCCGAGGTGCCGGGAGGAGAGGGCCTGGTGTGGAGCCTGGCATGTGCCAAGTGGCCCAGGTTTCAGACCCCGCTCACAGTGCTCTAACACTGCCCTCAACCCCAGCTGCTTTCTTTCTGCCTATCCTGCCAGGGGCTCTGTGTGCAGCAGAGTAAGAGCTTTCTGGAAGCCTACCAGGCCCTCAAGAGTGGCTTCCATAAGCCGAGGGGGAACAGGCACCCCCGTGAGCTCCTGCCTCTTCCCAGAAGCTGGAGATCGGTTGGTCTGGAAGTCTGCGTTAGCTGAAACAGAAGCGTCAAATGAGAGAAACCAGCACACTCGAGCCACCACTTCTTTTCAGGTATTTGCATTTTCCTTCCTGAGGACAAGACTGATCAGCTGGGGAGAAAGAAGCGGGGTGCAAGCGGTGGTGTTCTCAAAAGCGTTCTTTTAAACGAGAATATAAATAGACTGCAAGCCGGTGCTTCTCTGAGAAGACCACAGGCCACCAGGCTTTGAAAGGATCTCCTTGGGGCATTTACGGGGAGCGCAGAGCCTCAGCCGCCCCCTGCCTCCCTGCCTCCCAGCGGCCTTTTCTTCTCTGGCAAGCATCAAAGGTGCTGTCAGTTCTGAGCACAGCGTTTTGTGGGCGCAGCTGAGGGGGCAGCCCTGAGCCCGCCCTGCTTTCCAACGATGCCTTGAAAAGGAACTGAAAACATACTGCAGGGTGGGGGTGGTGCCGGCTTCTCCACCTGGATTCCAGCAGCTCCTGGAGAAGCCTCGTCTATACTGGGCTCTGTTTTGTGTTTCATTTCTATTTGTTTTGAGTCCTTAGAAATCGCACCGGCTTGCCAGGGGGCTGAGTGTGTGTCCTGGCCAAGTATGCCAGCCTTGGAAGGCCTGCCTAACCAGGCCGGGAGCCCCGAAGGAGCCAGACCCGAGGTGTCCTGGCTGATGCCGAGGGTATCTGCAGCCCTAACCCCGCCCATCTCTGCCCCAGAGCTCCAGAGCAGGTGGGGTCACACACTGCAATACAGCCCCTTCACCAGGTCAGGCAAGAGGGAGTCAAAGGACGCCCTGGAGAAGGACCCTCTGGGGGTTGGGGCGACTCCATTTTTCTCTCAGTAGGTCAGAAGCTTTGGGGAGGGACTGGTGTGGCACTGGCCTTTTCACTTTGACCAT